CAAATCACAAAAAGAAAAAAAAAATTGAATATATTCATAAATTAGAAATGTGGAAATTTGGAGAAAAAAAATATATCATACATACATTGCTCTACACTTATTGTTAATAAAATTTTCATTTTAATTAATTAAAATTAAGTTTATATATTATTTATATTATAATAATAAATTCATTAATATTTATTAAATCCGATAATTGAAATAGGGATAAAATCGGTTAATTAATTGAACCAATTGAACTCCACAGTTATGTTTTAACCGATATAACTGACTGTACGATATATATTTAAAATACTCAATAACTATTGCAATATCCGTGTAAGGCATAAGTGCTTAGAAAAAAAAAAAAATATACACTGAAAATTTATATTTTGTACCTTGGATAAAAATAAAAAAATAAATTTCATAAATAATCTTGAAATCAGGATGCCTATGGATAGTTGATACAATATATGTTCATGCTAACAAAAATAATAGTCAACGGCAATTTAATTAGTTACATAAAGTCAAAATATTAAACTAATAAACCCTCTTATGAAGACCATTTCAATTTTTTTTTTTTTTTTTTTTAACTCCCTTAAAAAATAAAAGACCTCTCAGTCAACATTCAAAAGTTCCATGCATGGACATTTTCAAGTCGCAGCCATTTTCATGCACTATATATATACACACACACAAATTAACAAACCCCTCTCAATTCACTCTCCACACAACAAAAGCAAAAACACAAACATTTTCAATTTTCCTGCAAAACACACATATACATTCAAACATTTCAATTCATCATCTTCTTTTGACCGACAAAAAATGAGGTGTGATCCAAAATCAGTAAAGATGTTAGCCATTTTGGCTCTAATTTTCCTATCGAGCGTAGAAACAAACCGAGCCGCTAGAATTCCAAACGGCGAACAAGTATGGACGAGCGAAAAAATGGGCCGAGAAGACCTTTTGCTGATCCTCTCATCCTTGCAACGAGGCCGACCAGTCGGGCGCCCATCGCCAAATGGCTGCACGTGGGTTCCCGGCCAAGGCGGCAAGCCTTGCGCCACCACCGTCGGCCAACGTAATTTTGCCGGAAAGACTCGTCCGGCAGCCGGAAATAATTAGTCTCGGAAGAAAACCGGTGTGGCTAATGGGAACCAAATGGTGCTGACACGTTTGTTTTAATTACAACCATGCATGGGAACGTACAACTTGTTTGTTTTTCACTAGGATTCATAATTTGATTTATTTATTTGTTCATTTTTTTTAGTAATTTGATTTTTTTTAGCTAGGAGGAGATGGCAGCATGCATGAGTCCATTAAGTCTTGTAAATTGTACATTTTGTATGCTAATCAGTGACTTTTTT